AAATGCTTTGTCCATTTTCAATTCCTAGCCTCACAGAAAGCTCTCTGTGAGTTCTTATACTCATCAGAGTAAGACTCCACTATGTATATTTCTTTATGAATACCTAAATGCAATATTTTCATATTATTCATTAACAGAATACCTGAACACTGATGTTGAAAAATAGCAAAGTATACAAAACATATATACAAAGAATAGTTATTGAAAACATAATGGCTACGTCTACACTGGCCCCAAATTCCGGAAAAGGCATGCAAAACAGGTAAGTCAGAATAGTGAAATCCGCGGGGGATTTAAATATCCCCCGCGGATTTAAATAAACATGTCCGCCACTTTTTTTACCTGAAAGTAGGAATAAGAGATCCTCCGGAAAAGGGCTTTATTCCGGAGGATCGCTTTCCGGAGGATCTCTTATTCCTACTTTCAGGTAAAAAAAGTGGCGGACATGTTTATTTAAATCCGCGGGGGATATTTAAATCCCCCGCGGATTTCCCTATTCTGACTTACCTGCTTTTCATGCCGTTTCCGGAATTTGGGGCCAGTGTAGACGTAGCCAATATGATCAAACCTTAGTACTAGATAAACCAGACATTTAATCTATAGTCTGTTTATGTCCACAGATACACCTTATTTGCTGTCTTAAAAATCTTTTGTAAACTATGAAGAGTCAATTCTCAGCACAAATTGTCAGAACAAGATAATAATATTAACTGGCAATGTCCAAGCAGACAACTTTGTGTTTGATATTTTATAGATTAATCACCATAATGGAACTGATGTGCAGTCTTAAGCCTTAAACTCTAAGAAGAAAAATAAAGATCAGAATGTTCTCCTAATCGTTTAATGGACCTAAAAAATTAAAGTTATAAAACAATACACATTTGCTAGGTGCTACAGAAAGAGAACAGTGATTAGTTATCAGCAACGTAAGGGATGTTGTCTAACCTGAGAAGGAAGAATGATTAATAAGTGGATTAATTGAGCCATTTATGGTCATGTTTGTGTGTATTACTAATTTAAAACTGATTTATAACAATTTAAAAGAACTGAATCATCAAATATACTTCTAGATAACAAAAACAGTATCAGCAAAGTATCAAAAGCATACTTTGTTATTTTGTTGTCTGTGTCACCAGATCTAAATTAAAGAGACACAGGCAGTTTAAAAAGCACACTTCTGTCTGGAAAAAAATAGCTACATTTGTTAATAGTAACAGACAAGAATGATCAAATCTATACAGAAGTTCTTGTGTTGTTTATTTTGATTAACTTTTATGTAACTTGCCTTACACAGTTTTCAATATGCCTACAAATATATTAATTGACAATGTATAACTGTATTACAGAAGCTGTGTGGAACAAAGCAAGAATTTGTGGTTATTGAGGCCCTAATCCAAGCAAGCGTCTGAGCATATGAGTAATTCCACAACAAACAGATGCTTAAATGCTTTCCTAAACCTGGGCCTAACTAGGTGCACCATGGGCTTTGCTACCTGAGAGGACATATGGAGGCAATTAGAAAAGGTGGAACACCAGATAGATCTTTCTGATAAAATTATCAGCAATATCATAATGTTGACATTATGGAAGCACTGCACACATCTTTGATATGGTTTCTGGGTGTCTATAAACTCAGGAAGACTGCAATGCATCACTTTACAGATCAGATTAATATTGTCAAGATTTTCTTTGCAACTACAGAACTAGAAACACAATATTTTTAAAACAAACACTTAGATTTTAGAGCACGATTCTGTGGCACAATGTGGATCCCATGGTAAATTCCAGAGAATACAAGGATTCTTGAGTACAGGTTTTGATCAGTTTTCGAGCCACTTGATTGGTGCTGTGGTTACTCAGGGTATGTCTACACTACATGGCTCCATTGATGGCGCCATGTAAATTGGTTTACCCGATATAGTCGATGAAGCAGGGATTTAAATAATCCCCGCTTTATTAAAATAAAAATGGCCACCTCGCTGTGCCGACAATCAGCTGATCTGGCACAGTGCGGCAGTCTAGACGCAGCTCGGTCAACAAGGGAAGTCTTTGTCGACCGCTCCTGTAAACCTTGTTTCACGAGGCATAAGGGAACAGTCAACAAAGGCTTCTCTTGTTGACCGAGCCGCGTCTAGACTGCCGTGCTGTGCCAGATCAGCTGATTGTCGGCATAGTGAGGCGGCCATTTTTATTTTAATGAAGCGGGGATTATTTAAATCCCCGCTTCATTGACTATGTCAGGTAAACTAGTTTACATAGCTCTGCTGATGGAGCCATGCAGTCTAGACGTAACCTAAGACTACAAGAAAGATGTGTGCTGAAGGGTACCTGAAGGGTACTTTCACCTTCTCCTCACAAAGGATTAATGGACACAGATTTTTGAAATGGTAACACACAGAAACCTGTTGGGGTACTTTAACCTTTCGGGGCACTCATTAATGGATTGAAAAGTAGCCATTTTTTTGCAGAGTAATTTCAGGAACCAACTATAGAGAGAGACTATGGAATTGGCTTTCATATGCAAATTTGACACATTTACCCAGGGACTGAACAAAGACATTAACTGGACAGCTCACTATAGTCAACATCCAAATGACATTGAAAGCTAAGTATCAGACACTTACAGCCTATTAGCCTGAACACTATACTTGACAGTTTTTTTTCTCCTCCCTCCCCTTTTCCTGCTTTATATTTTGGGGTTTCTGTGCCTGTTGCTCCACTCATCTGAAGAAGTGGGTTGTGCCCACAAAAGCTCATGATGTTATATATATATTTTTGTTAGTCTCTAAGGCCATGTCTACACTACAGATAAGATCAAAGCAACTGCAGTCAATCTTCCAGGGTTTGAATTAGTGGGTCTAGAGAAGAGACACTAATTTGAACTGAGAGGGCACTCCCATCAGTGCTAGTAGTCCTGCTTCTACGAGGAGTAAGGGATGCCAAAGGGACAGTGTGCTCCTGCTGACCTCCTGCAGTATGGACAGTGTCAAAATTCGAGTTAAGATACTTCAACTTAAGCTACCCAATTTACATTACTGAAGTTGTGCATCTTAATTCAAACATCTCCTAGTGTAGACCAGGCCTAAGGTGCTATGGACTACTCATTGTTTTTTTAAGTTACTGACTAACATGGCTACCCCTCTGAGACTTCTCATCACTGTTTGAGGAGAGCCAAATCCGATCTGATTTAATTAGCACTGATGTTACACCCGTCTCTATATCCCTTCCTTTCTTTCTCCTCAAACATCTGAAGAAGTGAGCTGTATCTCACAATATCTTATGCCCTAATAAATTTGTTAGTCTTTAAGGTGCCATTGGACTTCCTGCCGTTTTTGCTGAAACAGACAAACACAGCTACCCCTTGGAAACCTTTGCTAAGACAACTGATTGTCTTGCTCTGAGCAGGGGTGCTGGACACATGGAAATCATCAGGTCTCAGCATGTTCATCTTGAAGAGTCTGGACCATGCATTCTGTCAAAGTCCCAGCATGAAATTCAGCATTTTGATTTAAACAGGCTCTGCACTGCACACAGGGATTTGCCCTGCATACACTGAAATTTTTTTAGAAAGAAAATGAAGGTAATCTATACCACAGGCCTATGCTATAAATTCTATAGTGTTTGAATGGAAGCTAGCTGTGGGTCATAGGATTAGCACTATTTTCACATTGTAGTATTTGTTGCTAGAATAGAGTTGCCAACTTTCTAATGGCAAAACAATGAATACCCTTGCCCCACACCCTAACCCCTCCCTTTCTTTGAGGACCTGCTCCTGCCATGTGTCTTCTTACTCCTTCTCCTCCTGGGGAGCAGAAGGGGACTCTAAACTGGGGAAGAGGATTAGGGTGTGGACTCCAGGAGAAAATTTGAGCATGGGGGGGTGTCTTGGTGCAGACAGGGAGTTGGGGTGAGGAGTGGGTGTGTATGGGGCAGGTAAATGTTATGGCAGAGGGTTCAGGCTCTTTGGAAGGGCCAGAGATGAAGGTTTGGGGTGTAGAAGGGGGTTCACAGCTGGGGCATGGGGTTGGGGATTGTGAGATGCAGGTTCCTGGAGGGAGTTTGGGTGCAGAAGAGGACTCTGGCCTGGGGTGTGGGATTCCAGAATCACTTACTGTGGCTCCCAGGAAGCAGTCATCAGGTCCCTGCAGCTCTTAAGTGCAGGGAGGCTCTGTCCTTGTGCTGCATCTCACCCACAGATGCTGCCCCTGCAGCTGCCATTGGCTATGATTCCCAGTGAGTGGTAGCTGCAGAGCTGCCAGCTGGGAGTGGGGACAGTGAAGGATCTGTAGCTTCCATTGGCCAAGAACTGTATGGAAGCTGTGGGGGCAGTATGAGCCTTCCTGCACGTAGGGGCTGCAAGGACTTGGCCACTTCTGGATGTCAGGTGGAGCCAAGACAGGTAGGTAGCCTGCATCATCTCCCCTCTTTCAACCCCCACCCCATGTGCTGCTGACTGGGCTTTTAGTGGAGGTTGGCAGTGACAGCTGGAGCTGTGAGGGTTCCTTTTCGACCGGGTGTTTCAGTTGAAAACCAGCCACCTGGCAACCCTATGCTAGGAACTCCAAAATACAATTAAATCACAGGTTCAAAATATTGCCCAAGGCAAGTTTCCTACTATTTTTGCCTTTCTCCTCCCATTCTCTGCGTGTCCGTCGGTATCCAGATTCCCCTTTTCCTCCCTCTTCTACACCGGTTTCCTGCAGGCTGTATTTGGGCACCCAGTCTAGATGGTACTGAATTAAAACCTCCTCTCCCCGCCCCAGCTCTCTCAAAGATGTTCTCTTGGCTGATTCAGCCTTTCTTCTGCTGCCTCCTTTCTGGCTTCACTGCTTCCCCTTTTCTAACCCCCCCCCCTTTAAGTCTCTTGCTCCCCTGGTCCCTCCCTTTCTCCCCCACCTTGCTGGGGCTGGAGGGCTGCACACCTGGGTGAGAATTTTGGAGGGAATACGCCCCATGGCTCCCAGCTGGCCACTGGGCGCGACCCCCCCGGCCCCCGTTACCTGCCTGCAGGCTCAGGGTCCGTCCTGGGCTCTGTGCTAAGAGGCCTCGGGACACGCGAGGCGTCGTTAGGATGCTTCAGTTGCTAGGGCCGAGGGACAAGCAGGATTGACAGTTCTTTCCGACAATACGCGACTTACAATTCGACCCGCCCCCTTGGAGGGGAGCCGCCATTGGCTGAATCAGATCAATTCCGTTTTAAAGGCGACACCGAAAATACTTCAATCCCCAGAATGCTATGCGCAGCCATTCGCATGGCCGCTGGCTTGAGAGGGAGAGCAGTGCATGCTGGGGATTGCAGTCTCCTCAGTGGGGAGGCTGGAGGGCTTGTTTGGGCCGCATTGTGGCTCCTCTAGTTGTTCAGCGCAGCAAAAGAGAGGCCTGCGTGGGGTATAGGAGATTGGCTGCGAGGAGGAGGATGGCTATCAGATTCCTGCAATCGGTTTTCAATGTGAGGGCAGGGGGAACAGATCTACTGCCCCAATAGAGAGGGACATATTTGACAACCCCTCCCCCAACCTTAACCTCAAACTGCTGCTGGGAAACCTTTTCTTCTGTACCCCAGTTCTTCCAAAATAGCCTCTGTAAATGTGTCAAGACTCTCTCTGGGTTGCTAACACTGCTACCCTCCCTGCCTCCTTGCACACAAGCTGCTCATGTCCCAGCTCTATCCTTCCAGGCCCTGAAACTGAAAGTCCTCCTGTTTCAGGGTTCTTTCTCCCTGATTTGGGGTCATGTTGTTGTGATGCTCCAGATAGCAATGGGAGTTTAGCTGTTTTGGTGAGGTGGTTTGTTTTGTAAATCTCCTTCGGTGGTAGGCTTCATATTTTTAGGAGAATAATGAGGATAATTTAGATTGCATGATTTGATTGTAAACTCCTGGTGGTTGGGTTTCATCTTTTTATTTTGTGTACAGAGTCTAGCTCAATTGGAACTTTGAGCCTTCTAGATGCCATTACAATATAATAACCACCATCACCTAGGGGACAAGTGTGTCACTTTCTATTCATTTTCCCACAGTCAGGAGGGTCTAACTCTTCTCTCTCGAGGCTCCTCAATCCCCCTATTTGTAAAGGAAAAGCTTTCTTGCTACTGCTAAGTCTGCTACGGGCCAGGCAAAAGAGCAGCAGGCGGATTAAAGCTATTCACACATTCCTAGGGTAGCTTCTCTCTTTCTTGAAACTACCCTCACCTTAGGCAGCTGTACCAAAGAGATCTTTTGTACTCTGATTCAGGAGTGATTGAGCCTCAGGAAGGAGTCTTATTGTCTCTTTAAACTCTAACTACTAACTTTAAAAAGTTAATTATATTTGATGTTTATAAAGACTGCCTGTGCAGAACTTCAGTCAATAGAAGTCATTCAGTATAGCTCACTCTGCACCAGCAGGCTGCTCTTCGTAATTATGATTTTGTTACTGGCAGATGAAGATTTTATTAAAGACCCAGATGCAACTAATTATAACACAGTGTATTCTTTCTTCTAACCCAGGAACACTGAAAAAAAATCCAAACCCACAACTAGTATTAGAGTGCACACTTAATATTACAAAAACATTTTATATAATAGGCTGTGACACACTACATTCCAAAAAACAGTATGTAATGCTATATACAGTATATCAAAAGTTCTTCTATTGTAAGACTTTGCTTCCAACAATTTCAAAGCACTTTACAAACAGAGGATAATTCTCACCATACCTGTGTGAGTTAGACCAGGATTATTAGTACCATTTTCAAATGGGGAATCTGAAATACAGAAACGGCAAGTGATTTATCCAAAGTCAAACAGGAAATGGAATTTAGTGCCAGGACCAAGAAAACAATCCACATCTCCTGTGTTTTAACACTTCCACTGCAGCATGAAAAACGAAATAATTATTATACTAAACATTATTTTGTGCAAAACATGTTTAAAGTAACACGTTAGTTCAAATTTAGCCCTAAATTTAAGTTGTATAATATTAAGCTAAATCAACATTCAATTTTATTTAAAAATTATAGTGGAAGAATAATTTTCAATTTCAAAGCAATTTCTATACAAATAAACATTCCCCTGTAGTGTTTGCAACCCAAATATCATCTTTCTCCGAATCTGAAATGGAAACAGATGATAAAAATAACAATGACACAGTTGATTCTAAGGGTCCAAGCTGAAAGCAAAGCAAAAAGTGACTTAGACCAGTGACAAGTAAAACAGATGTTTATTTAGAATTGTCCATGTGGATTGCCTACATGTTATTGATAAGAGTACGGAAATAGGTTTGTTTCCAGCGTCTGATTTTTATGTTAACACAGTGTCCTTGTGTACTAACCAAGAGATGGCAACCTAGCTATTTTGGACGACAGCAAGAAAAAGAAGAATTAAAATAAGCTCCTACGCTTCTTAAGCGACAGGTAAGGAACATGGCTGTAAATGCTGCAGTAACTTGACCTGTTGGCTGAGATCATCGCACAGGAGTTTGTAGGACTATTGCATGCTGGTTGCGGAAATCTGGTATGAGGTAGGTGAGAGGAAAAATACTGGACCGGGAAGGACTCGGATCTCGATGAAATTCAGTCTGCAAGTAGGAGGAGGCTGAGTAGCAGTCATGTGACGCTAATGCTGCTACTGCATCAGTTAGTCCCTGACATCAGAATCTGGGCTCTGCTGCTGTCAGATGCCAACGCATTCTTCGCTTCGCTTGTCCCCTTCAGTCACAGGCCAGGAGAGGTGCGTGTGCAGCTATGAAACCAGTTCTCAACTGACGTCGTCTCACCAGAGCAATTTGCACCTTCCCAGCTGGCTGCTGCAGGTACGTGGTTTGAAGCGCAAGGGATATTGGCATCAGGTGTCCTCGCACTTTGCAGAGATGCTAACAAGATCGCGCTGTGTAGCGTGCAGAGGGGTAGGTTACATAAATAACGCGTCAGGGCGCCCGTTAAATAAGTAAATATCTCAGTTTCTGTAGGTTGTGCTGCCCTGGGGAAATAGTTAAGCGATCATGGAGGAGAAAGGCACAGGAGCAGCTTGTGAAATGCAGTTTTTCTATCGTTATCCTCCAGAAGGTCAGTTTGTGAGCAGTCTCCCGGCTTTTGGCAGCTCTCATTCTAGAAGGTTGGGGAAAACTGCGGTGAGAAGCACTGTGATGCTACCTTTAGGGAGTAGAGATCAGGGAACAACTTCCTTCCTTTAGGTATCCATATTTTACAGCCTCCTTAGAGGGAGGCTCTGACACTTTGAATGACGCTTTGGAAAACATGAGTTAACTTTAAACTGTTTTAAACATGGATACCAAAGCCCATTCTCTGAAGTGAGTGCTTCATTAACATTATCTGTAGATATATATATTTTTTTTAAGCCTTTAAGTGCTTTTAATTGAATTGGCACTTTCAGTCATCTATGGTAAAGTTGGCTTGTTGGTGACTTGAGACAAAAATACTGGGTATAAAACACTGTAGAAAATGGGACTATGGACTTTGTTCTTAAATTTTCAGGTATAAGGTATCTAGTAGTAGTAGTTGTTTAAATGCCCTGTCTGACTTTTTTTTTTTTTCTTTTCATAACATTTCATCCCTGTACAAAGCAATCTGAGGCCATGTTAGAGTTTTAACTCTGACTGCTTCTTGTGTCTTTGGCATTGTAAAACTGACTAGCTAGTTCTGCACCCTCTGTGTATTCTGTGTAGTATACTTGGTTTTTTTCAGACTTTATGTAAGATCTTCCCTGTTGCTCAAAGATCCATAAGGAATTATCAAAATCATTTCTGACCCCAATATGTGTTCCAAAATCTTCAGAAGGTGGTTGTGATGGAAGCTTGCAACATGTTCTTAAAACATCACTAATAAAATTACTTGTATCACCAGAAGTAGATATCTAACATGTGTATTAAGAATTATTTCCACTCGGAACTGTGATGGCACCTAGAATACAACCAAGTGTGAATAAAATCCTGTATCAGAAGGAGGATGTATTTCCTTTTTTAAAGCCAGGAAGAGTAACATTTAAGTATTGTCAAAACAAATTTTGTTAAAATTGGAGTCCTTTATAAACACTAAAACCTGCAGTAATAAAAGCCCTCAAAAGAGAATGTAAAATGTGTGGTTTTAACACTAGCTTTACTGGTAGTCCCAATAGTAATTTTTAATATTAAGCAACTGTACAGAATTTCAGGGCTGAATACAATGACTTCACGCAACAACCGAAGGAAAAATTAATTTTAATGACTTGCAGTTCATTATTCAATTGCAAATTAAGGAGAACTTTCTAGCCCATGTAGTTTTAACACTTGATTTTTGTCTGTTTAAAATCTTTCCAGTATATTCAAAACACCACATAAACTGTGAAATTTGACATTTTCCCTATTCTTAACTGAAACAAAATTCTTTTCCTATATTGACCTACTTAAAATGTTTTTGAGTAAAGTATTACAGACTCTTCACTCTGATGCTTAAACACCATAGTAAGGAGCTTTTGTGATAAAGAATGTAATGAAGAATTTAATCTATTCAATTTTTCTTTTTAGCAGATTTGCTTGACCATGTTTGGCTGCAGTCTTAGCTAGCTTAACAGAAAAAAGGCCTGTCATTGCATTTATCCTAGGTTTCTATTGCAGTACTACCAACCCCAACCAGTCAGATATCATGGCTCGGGTCCCGAAAAACCATTGGTTTAAAAACCTCACAAACCTGCCCACACCTTTGGGGCCTTCTTATTTGCTTTCTTTTTGCCGAGCCATTAAGATATGTATTCTCAATGATCTCAAGATATTTTTTTTTCTTCTACAATCAAATAGGCTGGGAACTTTAAAATGTAGAGCCCAGGATTTTGAGTCCGATTACAACACTAAATGTCACAGACTTGAGAGAACTGACACACAAAAACATGGTAGCAGTGTCTCACTTTAAGACCAGTTGCTGTCTCTAGGATGTATGTACTGTGAACAGGAGAACTGACACTTGAAAATGCTATCGGTCATTTAAAGTCGAAAAAATCAGTTCTTGCCTTTGGCCCGGTTCTACTTTCAAAACAGCAGGCTTGGAGACTTAGAAGTAGATAACAAGTGTCTTTAAACGCTGATGTCGACATACTACAAATGTCCTTCTGATTTATTTCCCACTGTCTAAAACTTATCTCGTATTTGTGGTTTTGGTGTGTGTGTGAGGGGAAGAATGAGCTTTTTGGCAATGGTTTCAATAATCCAAAAGGGCCAATGTCACTTGTAAATCATGGTCCTGATATTTTAATCTCCAAATTGAATAGCATCTCAATTTTAATTGCGCCTAGTTATCACTGCATTTCTAAAGAATATTTAATGATTTTTTGCACAATGTAACATGCAAATATCTTGAAACTGCGTGTAATGGTTAGATGAAAATCTTGAGTGTTCATTTTTGTGAAACAAAAGTGGTCTGCTGTTGACCGTGATCATGACTGCATGTTTTTCCCAATTGACTCTTACAATGGCCATTTTCTTCCAGAAATGGAAAATGCTGAAGTGGCTATAAGCAGCTGCAGCTCTCATGATGATGGTAATCTTTACAGCTACAAACGACACCAGTCTGTTTCACAGGAGCTGCTTCTGGAAGACCAGCTTAGAAGAAAGCTTAAATTTTTTTTCATGAACCCATGTGAGAAATTTTGGGCCCGGGGCAGAAAACCTTGGAAACTTGGGATTCAACTTTTAAAAATAGTGATGGTTACCATTCAGGTGAGTTACTTTGAGGATCTGAAGTTTTATTTTCTCACCATGGATACAAGACAGGATGAAGGCACTCAATAAATGTTACACTTGCACAACATAACAGTACCAACTCAGGCTTCTCTTGATAAGCAGTTTTGGAAGCCTTGAAAATATGGGAGATGTTGCATAGTATGTTGACTATGAATCTTGAACGAGGTATGTAAACCTTTTTCATATACATTTTAGGTATGCAAGAATAGAATTTTTAAGTTTAAAGTTTAATTTACTAGACCAAACCTTTGTTGCTGACTAAAATATGATTATCTGCCTCTCCCCACTTCGACTGGAGAGAGAGCCTACGTGCTAATTCTTCTCTTAGCCTGTAACTTCAAAAATGAGTATTCCTTTGGCACCTTAACTAATTATATAGGATCATGAGCTTTTTGTAGGCAAAACCCACTTCCTCAGATGAGTTTAGTAATCCTTTTAATAAACACTTAATTCATTCTTAATATCTCTTTAAAAGCTGCTTCATGTAACTGCAGAATTCTGTGCCAATGCAGCTTCACCAGAAAGAAAGAGATTAGACAACTACATTTCCCTTCCTGCATCATCCAGGTGACTTTTTTTTTTCTTTTCCTCACTCTAACGCTCAATCTGGTTACACCTTGTAGCTGTTTGAGTTGAGTCACTCCACTATTTCTTGCTTTCCAAAATAACTCTAACCTCAGACTGTGACTATCAAAAAATGTGTAGTGACTCATTTGCAGCTTGAAGAGGGAATGGCATTTCCCCCACTGGAAAAAAAACCTTGTTAGATGTGCCTCTATCTGGATGGGAAATGACTTTCCAAATGCAGGAGGAGGCAGTTGAAGCTATACTGAAGTAACAATCTAGTTGATATTAGTTGGACTTTCCAACATGTCCTATGCCTCTCTTGTGTGCCCCCAAAAAAGAAACTGCTGACAGGCAGTATGAACCCCATTTCTAGTAATAGGCAAATCCAGCCATGACTATCCAGGTTTTTGGAAAGAGGGAGGGTAAGTTTTAACCAACTTTCTTTTGGAACTGCAAACATTCTATCTTTTTCCCTCCCACCCAGTTAGTAGTTTTTGGGCTAAGCAATCAAATGGTGGTTGCCTTCAAAGAGGAGAATACTGTGGCATTCAAGCACCTCTTCTTGAAAGGGTATACAGAAAGAATGGATGATACCTATGCTGTATACACACAGGCAGATGTCTACGATCAGATCTTCTTTGCAATAAACCAGGTAAAGGTTTCCATTGCTGTATGGTAAAAGCTTTAGAAAAGAACTTAAGAACCTGTAAATTGATTCAAGTTACAAATCTTGCAACATATCTAAAGCTGGTGTCTCAACTCTTTGGGTACGTCTAAACTACATGCCTCCGTCGACGGAGGCATGTAGATTAGCCAGATCGGCAGAGGGAAATGAAGCCGCGATTAAAATAATCGCGGCTTCATTTAAATTTAAATGGCTGCCCCGCTCTGCCGATCAGCTGTTTGTTGGCAGATCGGGGCAGTCGGGCCGCGCCGCGCCGACAAGCCTTTCTTGATCGGCACAGGTATGCCTCGTGAAACCAGGTTTACCTGTGCCAATCAAGAAAGGTTTCTTTGTCGGCGCAGCGCGTCCAGACTGCCCCGATCTGCCAACAAACAGCTGATCGGCAGAGCGGGGCAGCCATTTAAATTTAAATGAAGCCGCGATTATTTTAATCGCGGCTTCATTTCCCTCTGCCGATCTGGCTAATCTACATGCCTCCGTCGACAGAGGCATGTAGTCTAGACACACCCTTTGAGACTGAAATGAAACTGGTATTTTTAGAAAGCAATTGAGTTAGAAAATTCTCTGAACACTTATCACCCTCATTTCTTTGTGGGTTTGGGAAAGGGAAAATTTAGGAGACCATCTTATTTTTCTAAATTAAGCAGACAAACTTGAACAGAGACTTGTACTTTTAACTGTGGCATCATCAACATACCACAGAATGTCTAAAAGGTCTCAGAGGGTTGGCCATATTAGTCTGTAACTCTTAAAAGGAGTAGTTCTGTGGCACCTTAGACTAACAGATATATAGTATGAAATTTTGAGGGTAAAACCTTTCATTCTCAGCTGATGAAGTGGATTTTCCACATGAAAACTCACGATATTAAATGTCAGTCTAAGATGTCACAGGGCTACATGCTGTTTTTTATAGACTGTCTAGTAATCTTACAAATTCAAATAGCTTGTTGTAACTTTGCATTATTCCCAAATCTTGAGCTCTTAATGAACGGCATTACAAAAATGTCAGTTGCTTATTGTGCTAGTAGATACAGGCAGTCCCCGGGTTACGTACAAGATAGGGACTGTAGGTTTGCTCTTAAGTTGAATCTGGACGCCAGTTCTGACTTACATACAGATTCAACTTAAGAACCCCAGGCATCCCCAAGTCAGCTGCTGCTGAAACTGATCAGCGGCTGAATCTGGACGCCAGTTCTGACTTACATACAGATTCAACTTAAGAACCCCAGGCATCCCCAAGTCAGCTGCTGCTGAAACTGATCAGCGGCTGATTCCAGGAAGCCTGGGGTAGGGGCTTCCTGTAGTCAGCCACTGGTCAGTTTCAGCAGTGGCTGACTTGGGGACGCCTGGGGCAGAGCAGCTGGGGTGCTGCTGGGTTGGTCCAGTAGCACCCCGGGCAGCGCTACGGTACCAACCGGCAGCGCCCCAGCTGCTGTACCACAGGTGTCCGGAGCAAAGCCGCGGAGCACGGGGGCAGTGGGACAGCCCCCTTCTGGGGGAAGGGAGTTTGTAGCCTATCTGGGTGAATGTCTCATTCTTTGGGGTGTCTTATCCAGCCATCTACAAGAAAGCAAACAGTGTCTGAGAGGAGGCATATAAGAGAGAATCTGAAGTTTGGTAGTAGGTTTTATTTTCAGGGATGAGTGAAGGATGGCTTCTTCTGGCTGGATGAGAGCTTCCACTTGGTTCAGGTTTTCCTCCCCTCAAATGCTAAGTAAATAGCTGTATTGTTTCCCTGATTTAATAACTTACAGTAAAATAAATTATCATATTTAGATGCTACAAGGAATGCTTGTCACTAAACAGTTTATTTTGGTAGAGTTGCCCTTTGGGAGAGCTAGATGGTATGGTCCACTCTTTCTTCAAAGGAGTACTTGCCCTCTTCTCATGAGCAAATGTTTGCATTTGGCACCCCAGATATGTGTAACCATATTTCCATTTAGCACCAGCAATGTGAGGTATTGGAGATAAATAAACATAAATACTGAGTTGCATCTGCAATTTCTTTTAAAGGTGAAAATTTCAGCTGTAAAACACTCAGATGTGGTCCCTTACCATCTCAAAAGTGAACCATCTGAAAGGGATGGGAGGGGGAGAGACAGTATCTGTTTACTCTGAAGCTTCAGTGTGATAGCTTTAATTTATATTGGAGAATGCTGTGCAAAAGCAAATATTGCAGAATCTTTTTAGCACTGGTCTTCCAAGGGTGGTGGTGGTGGTAGTAAGCATCTCATGGCTAATGGCTCTAATCCAAGAGTTTACAAGGGCTTTTAAAAATAATGAATTAGCCACATCCTAGGGACTTGTAAAGAGACACATTTAATAGTAAATGCTTCTTGTTTAGAATCTAATCCTGAACTTTTTGCCTAGGCAAAACTCTCTAAGGGTATGTCTACACTGCCACCTTAGTTCGAACTAGAGTGGCTAATGTAGGCATTCGGAGTTGCAAATGAAGCCCGGGATTTAAATATTCCGGGCTTCATTTGTATCTTGCCTGGCACTGCCATTTTTAAATCCCTGTTAGTGCGGACTCCGTGCCCGCAGCTACACGCGGCACGGAGTAGGTAGTTCGAATTAGGCTCTCTAATTCGAACTACTGGTACACCTCGTTCCATGAGGAATAATGGTAGTTCGAATTAGAGAGCCTAGTTCAAATTAGAGAGCCTAGTTCGAACTACCTACTCCGTGCCGTGTGTAGCTGCGGGCACGGAGTCCGCACTAACAGGGATTTAAAAATGGTGGCGCCCGGCAAGATGCAAATGAAGCCCAGGATATTTAAATCCCGGGCTTCATTTGCAACTCCGAATGCCTACATTAGCCACCCTAGTTCGAACTAAGGTGGCAGTGTAGACATACCCTAAGTTAGTTCACAAGTCCAACAGTGGTGCATGGTATAATCAGGGCTGGCCCTACCATGAGGTGAACTGAGGCAGCCATCTCTGGGAGCCAGACTGGGGGGGGGGGGGGGCACCCTGCTGGTGCATATGTAGGTAGCAGAGCAGTAACATGAGAGGAATAGAACAGGAAGAAGGTGGAACTGAGACCTGTCAAAATTTTGGCCCAAGTGAGGGGCATGGTGGTGTCATTTGAGCTCCCCTCCTCGGGTGCCAAAATGTTGTGGGTTGGCCCTGGGTGTAGTAACCCTTCTGAATTATTTAGGTGACTCTTTAAACAAAAAAATGATAGCCAGGGTACAGAACCTTTTTTTTTGGGGGGGGGGGGCACTGACTCAGAAAAAAATAACCCTCTGATGTGGCCCTGACTGACAAGGAAAAAGACAATCTCTCCTCATTCCCCTCACACACCAGGGACTTGTGGGTCTGGGCTAGTAGACTTTGTGTTCTTCAGCCCTGCAGAGGGACAGTGGAGAGGCTGGAGCAGCAGTGTGGGCTCCCCAATGCTGGGTGGGAACCCTGAGCCTCTGATGCTGGATCCAGGCATCCTGAGGGTCACATTCAGCTCCCAGGCCTTTGGTTCCCCGCAGTTGGGTTATAGGATAGAGTCAAACTAATATTGACTGTTTCAGCTGTAGCAATCAAGGCACTAGATCTAATTCAGTTTGACTATCTTCTTGTGAATTAGTACTTACAGCTGAACAACATTTCTGTTGGAAATCATGCTTATGAGAGGAGAGGAGCAGAACAGACAGCTATGGCAATCTGTCAACAGTTCTACAAGCGAGGGAGCATCTGTCCAGGAAACGACACCTTTGATATTGATCCCAACATTGAAACAGGTGACATGTATCTTAGATCTGATCTGAACTCTTTATTTATACTCAGCAAATTTTGTTTTAAATTTTCTCCCAAACTATCTAGAATTTGATAGTGGCATTAAACTGTCATGGAATCGCTGAATCTCAAATGTTTCTTATTGCACAATCTGTGCTGGTTTTTATGATCATGTAGTCAGTCTTTAAACTTTTTTATTGTAGACTAACTGTGAAATGTGTAAGAGTTTTTGTAACTCTTAAAAATAAAAATACTAACAATTCTAATGCCTTTTATATGAGGGAAGTAGCACTAGCTTTATCCAGTGCAATTGGTAGTTTGACTGACTTTTTTTTTTTCTGGGGCATCTATCAATATACTATGAAGCCTCTTGCATTTTATTAATGCATTTACTAACTCATTACCATCACCACATCGCTCCGAGATAAGGAAATAAATAACAAATGTTAATTCTTTAGGTGTGCCCTACGTCAAGAATGCATTGACTTGGGTGTGCAAGGAAGGAAGCCAATACACTGACAAACTTCTCTCTCAAATGATTGATCCATTTGAGATACATTATTTTGACTTAGATCAATAGCTCTTATAGCCACTAGGGGTTGGTGGTTTAAAACAAATCAAACTGACACTGAATTGATTTGTTTATGCCTCTTTCTAAATGACAGAATGTTTCTATGTTGAGCCAATGATGCCTTTTGAAAACAGAACACTTGGGAAGCACACATTCAATTTCACTCTGGACTTCCATAGGTGAGGAGTAAGATTCTAGTACTATGAAATAGGGATATAAAATCCTATTTAAGTTAAGTTGAACACGTTAACTCATTAAATGGACAGGTGGATTGGAGTGCCCCCTGCACTGGAGGCAGAGGCTGCTTCAGCTCAGCAGGGCTGCTGGCTCGTTGGCAGCCTTGTGGGGGTGGAGGGCTGTGGGGGGGGGGGAAGCATGGAAGTGGCAGTCGGGAGGGTGGGGCTGCAGGCTCTCTGCCTGGGTCGTGGGCTAGGAGTCAGCAGGCTTGCACTGGAAAGAGGGTTGCTGGCTCCCAGCCCTTACAGGCTGGGAGGCTGAAGTGGTGTGGGTGTATGGTGGGGAGAACTGCCAGCTCCCAGCCTGCATAGGCTCACTCTGGATCAGTTTAGTGGGTTAGGAACCAGTAGCCCTGTGGGGCTGGAACAGCCATCCACCCGTGGCAGAGGGCTGCTCCTGGGAAATGGTTATTCATTACCTGGTAAATATCACCCCTTAATGGGTGATGCTCACCAGTTAACAGGTTACCCATTCACATCCCTACTATGAAAACTAATGCAAAATTGACTTCCAGACTTGTGACCATACAGCTTACCTTCAAACTGAAAGCAATCAATCTCCAGACGGTTCGTCACCATGAACTCCCAGATTGTTATGACTTTACTTTGACAGTAAGTGGATGCCTTAGTATATTTTGTATTCCTAGTAATTCTTGCATATGTTGCTTATGTGTAATACACATAATGTATCTTTAAACATGCTTGGGCACCAGCTATCAGTTCTCAGTGAGTGGGTGGAAGGAGCTACTATAGTGTACAGTAGCCTATAAATAGTTGGAAGGTTCTGTTTTGGGAGCCGCAGGACATTTTGCCAACCTTTGATTGGTTCTCCTGTTAGACCATTAATCAAATGCTACTAGACAGCAAGTATAAGCAATTAAACTCCCACCTTTGAGCACACAACAAGCCTATTTTAAAAAAAAAACCCAAAAACCTTTCCCTTTTTTCTCTAGAGACCCTTCTAAGAATGGTCATGCAGTTTGGACTAGAATGGGATTGTAACTTAAATTGACTTAACTAGTCACTTAGCTCTTTCTTGAATTATAAATTATTTGCTATAATTAGACTTTTTGATACTTATTTACATTGTTTCCAAGCTTCATAATTTTTCTCAATATTCAGTCATTGTTATGGAATATATGTAACATTTCTAAGCTTTATGTAAGTGCCTGTGGCTTTATACAAAATCTCTCCCTGTTTTTCATGCAGATAGTGTTTGATAACAAAGCACATAGTGGAAGAATCAAAATAAATCTGGACAATGATATTGCCATCCGGGAATGTAAAGACTGGCATGTTTCTGGATCCAGTAAGTGACAACTAAGTTAAAATACTTACAAATATTTCTGGATGCCTTATTCTCTTCCACATGGGATGGGGTTGTATTCAATCTTCTTGCCCTCTTTCACTTTGCCAACTAATATGGAATTATGTGAAGGGATGTTGTCCACAGAGTTGGTCTTGAAATTTAGGTTTTATAAAGAATCTTTCTACTCATAACATTTGAACTTTCACCTAATCACCTGAAACTTTAACAGAACAGTTATCAAGTTTGTGTCAAAGGGGTACTCAAGGAAGCCAGTGCCATTGTGGAGAAGCTAAATGAATTCTTTACATTGGTCTTCAGTGAGAAAGTGACCTCACCTGAGCTGGTCACAGTGAGAAACTTGAGGAAGTGTCCCAGATTGAGTGGTTAGAAGTGGTTTTGGAATGAACCTGGTAAATTTAATCATTCCAGGAACAGGTTGTCTTCACCCAAGAGTTCTGAAGGAAATCAGCCATGAAATTGCAGAACTACTAACTGTGGCATATAACCTATCACTTAAATTGTCATCTGTACCAGAGGACTAAGACCGCTAATGTGTCGTCAATTTTTAAAAAAATGTGTAGCACTGATCCTGACAATTACAGGCCATTAAATCTAACTTGAGCACAAAGACAACTGGTTGAAACTATGGTACAGAACATGTATGTTCATCTGTGTCTGTTAATCCTAAGAATGTTAAAATGCAATTATCTGGCTAATCATATAGTTAAGTGCCGCTGTGCAGAGCTGCAGTGGGAGTAGCTCCACAAGCTGATTCCGGACTGGAAAGAGCAGTGCTAGCTCCACAGCAACCAACACTATGGCTCTGCATTTTAAACATAGGAAGAGATGCTGGGCTGTTATTACACTTTAAAACACAGAGGCGCAGTGATCCGCGTGAGCTGGGACTGTTCGTGAGCTGGGGCTGGTTCCGGAACATTTTAAAGCCAGTTCTCTGCAGCACGGGCTCCTGTTCTCCCCCATTTGCTGCTTCTCTCTGATAGAGGCAGAAGGGGGAGGAAAGTGTCAAGTAAAGTTGTAATAGAGATGTAGCCGTGTTAGTCTAGTCTAGCTGAAACAAAAAACAGGACTATGTAGCACTTTAAAGACTAACAAGATGGTTTATTAGGTGATGAGCTTTCCTGGGCAAGACCCACTTCCTCAGATCAAATAGTGGAAGAAAATAGGCATGACCATATATACCAAAGGGATACAATAAAAAAAAAAGTGAACACACATAAAAAGGACAAATCAAATTTCAGAAGAGAGGTGGGATGGGGGGGGGGGGGGGGGAAGAGGAGGTAAATGTCTGAGCTAATGATATTAGAGGTGATAATTGGGGAAGCTGTCTTTGTAATGGGTAAGGTAATTAGCGTCTTTAAGACCCTGGCATAAAATGTCAAATTTAAGCATGAATGACAGTTCAGAGGTTTCTCTTTCAAGTCTGGTGTGAAAATGCCTTTGAAGCAGTATGCAGGTAATGAAGTCATTGAGACAATGCCCTTTCTGGTTGAAATGGCAAGAAACTGTTTTTTCTTTGTGATACTGTCTGATATCTGTTTTGTGTGCATTGATTCTTTGGTGAAGCATCTGA